GCGGTCTGCCGTGCGAACGTGTGGACTGCCGTGCTCATTTGGGGTCTGCCTTGCTCCTTTGTGGTTTGCCGCGCTCCTGTGTGGTCTGCCGTGCTCCTGTGTGGTCAGCCGTGCTCCTGAGGCGTCTACGTGCTCCTTTGGGGTCTGCCGTACTCATTTGGGGTCTGCCGTGCTCCTGTGGTCGGCCGTGCTCATTTGGGGTCTGCCGCGCGCCTGTGAGATCTGCCGTGCTCCTGTCGGGGAAACGCCAGCGGCGTTCGGGGTACAACAAAAAGGCGCGTTTATGTTGTACCCGCGCGCGGTCTGCCGTGCTCCTGTGGGTTCCGCCGTGCTCCTGTGGCGTCTGCCGTGCTCCTGTGGCGTCTGCCGGGCTCCTGTGTGGTCTGCCGTGCTCCTTTGTGGTCTGCCGTGCTCCTGTGGAGTCTGCCGTGCTCCTGTGTGGTCTGCCGTGCTCTTGTGGTCTGCCGTGCTCATTTGGGATTTGCCGTGCTCATGTGGGGTCTGCCGTGCTCCTGTGTGGTCTGCCGTGCTCCTGGCGTTTGCCGTGCTCCTGTGGGGTCTGCTGTGCGAACGTGTGGTCTGCCGTGCTCCTGTGGGGGTCTGCCGTGCTCCTGTGGTCTGCCGTGCTCTTGTGGGGTCTGCCGTGCTCGTGTGTAGTCTGCCGTGCTCCTGTGGGGTCTGCCGTGTTCCTGTGTGGTCTGCCGTGCTCCTGTGTGGTCTGCCGTGTTCCTGTGTGGCCGTTTCGCTCGGGACGTCCTCAAAAAATCGGCTCCGGAGGGGACTCCGAAGCAGCATTATCTTGGAATCGCTCCCGGAGGGCCTCCAAACGGCCCAAGAAAGCCCCCGAAGGCCCCCCAGAGGACCCCCAGAGCGCCCCAAGAGACCCCCAAGAGGCCCCCAAGGGGCGGCCAGAGGCCCGCCAGAGCGCCCAAAACGCCCCAAGAGACCCCCAAGAAGCCCCCCAGGGGCTCCAAAGAGGCGGCCAGAAGTCCCCCAGAACGCGCGAAAAGGCTCCAGGAGTTCCCTGAGAGCTTCATATCGCCCCATAGAGCCCCCGAAGGCCCCCCCCGGGACTCCCCCAAGAGGCCCCCGAGAGGCCAGAGGCTACGACAGCCCCAAGAGCGTCCAAGATACCTCCAAGACGGCGCCGAAGCCAGGAAACGCAACAGGGATGTTCTCTGACGTTCTCGCCAATACGGTCTCTGACGCACGTGGTGGATAAAAAACTGCGCTTCCCGTTCTTGTCCGGTCAGGTTCCGGAAAAATGGCCGTTTCGCTCGAGACATCCTCGAAAAATCGGCTCCGGAGGGGACTCCGAACCGGCATTATCTTGGAGTCGCTCCTGGAGGGCTTCAAAACGGCCCCAAAGAGCCCTCAAAGGCCCCCCAGGGGACCCCCGACACGGCCCAAGAGACCCCCAAGAGGCCCCCCAGAGGCGCCCAGATGCCCCCCAGAGCGCGCGAAGAGGCCCCGGGACTGGCCAAGAGAGCCCCAAAACAGTCCAAGAGAACGCCAAGACAGCCCACGAGAGCCCCCACACACCTCGAGACACTCCCGGACAGTCCAAGAGGGTCACATTAGCCTCCAAGAGGCTCCTAAAACGTTCCGAACGGCCCCAACAATTGCCGTTTCGCTCGAGGCCTCTTCAACAAATCGGGTTCGGAGGGGACTCCAACTCAGCATTATCTTTGCATCTCTCCCGGAGGCCCCGGGACTGAAGTGCTCCGAACGGCCCTTAATTGCCCTTTCGGCACGGCGGTGCACCACAGCTTTTGGCTATGCCTCAGAGGATCGTCTGATACTGTACTTCGTCCTGCAGCGTCTGGCTCAACAGTGCGCGCCCTTCGACGTGCTCCGCGCGAGTCCAGTGCAATTGTGCGCGGAGCGTCCCCGCAAGGTAGTGCCCCCCGTGTTGACAGATCTCCGATTACGAGCGTTTGCGCGATGTGTTTACGCGCGCGTGCAGTGCGCGCTTGCGCGTGCATAGGTTTCTACATTGGCCGTTTCGCTCGGGACATCCTCTAAAAAATGGAGTTGGCGTTGGCTCCAGGCCGCCTTTGTGTTCAGATGTCTCTTGGAGCGCCCAAGAGGGTCCCTAGAAGGCCACAGGACGGCTCCAGGGGGCCCGCATGACGGCCCCAGAGGCCTCCAAGAGCACCCCCAAGACGGCCCAAGAAGCCAAAATCGTCAAATTCCCATGGGAAAACGTATACTTTTAGTATATACGATTTTCTCGTCTTCACGGCGTCGAAGACGGTCCAAGAGTCCCCCAAGACCGGCCCGCGACGGCCCAAGAGATTCTCAAGAGGCACCCAAGACGGCCGAAAAGGGCGCCAAGACGGCCCAAGCGGCTCCCAAGAAGGCCCACGAGGGCCCCAAGAGGGAGAGCCCGAATCGAAAATCGGAGCATCCCGCCCAAAGACGGCCCTAGGAGGCCTCAGGAGGCGCCCAAGAGGTCCCAAGAGGCCCCCGAGAGGCCCCCAAGACTCCCCAAAAGGCCCCCAAGAGGCCCAAAAGAGGCCCCAAGAGGACCCAAAACGGCCCGCGAGAAGCCTCCCAAGAGAGCCCAACGAACTTTCACTTCGTCTCATTTTCAATACCTGGGCACGGTGGCGGGATGGACCGAAGGTCACTAGATTTTCCATCTCCTTATCCCGAATTCGGGTTACACAGCCCCAAGACAGCTCAAGAGGGCCCGAAAACAGCGCCAGAGGGATCCAAGAGGGCTTCATGTTACAGGCCTCTTGGACCGTCTTGGGGTTATCGCCAGTCGTATTCAAAGTATAATGGGCCGTCTTGGAGCATCTTGGAGTGGCCGGAGACGGCCGGAGGCATCCTGGGCATTCCTGGGAGGGGTGAAGGATCTAGTCCGTATAACCGGATCCCCCCCCCTGCAAGCCAGCCGGACCGAGCCCCAAGGGGACGGCGGATAGCTCGGGATCTTGAAGGTAGACGCGGGGGCCGCGTGGTAACTGACCGCTTGCGCACAATACAAGTAATAGCGGTTCCAGGGCGTGAATCTGGCCGCACTTCTGTGGGTCTTGGTCGCCGAGGCATGAACCCAGAGTACGTTGCAATGGGTCGTGGCCTCGGAGGCGCGTATCGCGTGTACTTTACGAGGGATCTGCGCCTCGGGAGCGCGAGCGTCGTATATTTTCGAGGGATCCTTGATTCGGGCACCGCGCAGCCCCCTCCTGTTCGCACAAGCGTTCCAGTTTTGACGTCCCCATGTGATGCCACACCTGCAACGAACGTTCGAACATTCGCTTCCCGTTCTTGTCAGGTCAGGTTTGATTGATCATATGTTCGGTTGCACGTGTAATTGACGAAGCACTCGGTCCGATCAGGCTTCTGGCTGCTGGCTTGCGAAACAATTATGTTTGATGGTTCATACACCTGCTCGTAAGGACCACTCTTGGGGCCCTCTTAACGGCCTTCTTTGCAGTCTCGGGAGCCTTCTGGGTCGTCTTGGGGCTGTCTTGGGCTGGTCCAGGGGGCCTCGCGGGCCGCCCAGGGCTTGCAGATGCCAGGAAAGGCAACAGTCCAGAACAGATCCCCCCAAGTTCCGTGAGCATCACTGGCTTGTCGCTCTCGGGGGTTATCTTGGGGCCCTCGCGGGGCGTCGGGGCCGTCTCGAGGTCACCTCAGGCGTTCTGGAGGCCTCTCCAGCGTGCCGGGTCCGCTCTCGCGCCGGAGGCCCCAGGAGCCTGGGAGGGGCGCTGATGCGCTCGTCGCCACCCCCCATCGAATGGGAATTCAGACCCCCTGGCAGGTGGAACGTTGGAGGGCGACAGCCAGTCACTTGGCATCGCTCGGACGTGTGCATTTTTTCTCGGCGAGGGTCCTCGAGGAGCCTCTTGGACCACCCTGCGAGAAAAGAAACGCACGACAGCGAAAGATGCACGGGGAATGGGTGTCCGAGCGATGACAGGATCATCTCACACGCCTTCTCGCCCCTGACACGCGGGGGATCGGCAGATCTCGCTTGCGCGAACAGCCGCCGACTTCGAGGTCTGCTCCCACTCGCACACTGCTGGGCAAGTGCAGGGGGATCGCGGGGTCGTCGGCAACGTTCATTGTGTTGTTGCTCTAGACCTCCTCGAAAGGGTCCGAGTAGATGGGGTCCGAGGATCGCGCCGCATCGCCGATGCATCGACGATTCGGCTCAATGTGGAGTCCGTGTTTCCCCACGCCGACGTCGCCGATGCATCGCCGACGTCGCCGATGCATCGCCGCTGCATCGCGCTGCATCGCCGATACATCGGAGATGCATTGGCGATGTAGCGTGATCCTTCGACCACATCTACTCGGACCCATCCAGGAAGCATCTAGTTACATGCGCACGCTCTGCGTGGCACCTAGCCTCGAAGAAGAAATACTTGCATCGACACAAAAGTTCGGAGCTCCGCGTGGATTTCTTGAATCGGTGCTGGGCCCCCTCTGACGACGCCTCCGGCGCCGCACCAGGCGCACGGCCGCGCCAGGAAGGAGGTTCCAGCGCAGATCCAAGAAATTCGCACAGACCTCCGAAAGTTTCTGCTTACACTCTTGTTTCTTCCTCTTATACGAGGCAGGAATTTCTCCATAACCACCGCCTGGGGTGCTCGACCTTCGGAGACGCCGGCGGGCGGTGAATACGGATATATTCCTGCCTTGGGGAGGCCAAGTATGTCCATATCCACCGCCCGCTGGGGTCCCCGGACGTCGGTCGGTTCCACGGGCGGTGGATGTGGATGCATCCCCGCCTCGCCCTCGGCGTACGCCCCCTCCTCCTCCTCCTCCTCCTCCTCCTCCTCCTCCTCCTCCTCATCCTCCTCATCCTCCTCCTCCCCCTCGGTATACGCATTCAGACACTGTTGCATGCGCGCGCTCTTCGTGGCTCTGGCCGCGCTGGCCTGCTCGCTCGCCGAGGCCGCTCGGCAACAGGCAGGCCGCTGTGTCCGCCGCCTTCGCTGCGTCCGCTTCGGCGCCCTTTAGCCCGCAGTGCCCGCTGCGCCGAGGTCTACGACAAAGTGGGCGACTATTTCGGGGAGGCGCCGCGGGGCTAGAAGGTCAACGAAGCTTCGCTTGGCCTCGGTGGCCTCTGCACACAAGGACAAGGTAGGACAGACGCGCACGGCATTCGCAAGCTCGCTCAGACTTTGCGTTCGCACGGCAGGTTCGCGTCGCGTGTCGACCGGCGGCGGGGTCGCCGCTGGTCGACGCACGACCCAGAATCGTCCCATCATTGAACGATCCGGCGTTTCTGAAACGGTCGATCGTTCAAGGTGAACGATCCCCGCTGTGTCAGGAACCAGCGCCAGGGACGGCACGACACGAACCTGCCATATACACGCACGGCATTCACAAGTTTACTTAGACGCTTGCATCTGCAACCGCCCTCTCGGCGCCGTCTCCATCCGCACTGGTGTGTGTTTTGTCTAGTGCGAGATGAAGATGACAACGGCTTCCGCGCCGTCGCTCGGCACGGTTCCTGCCACGACCAGTAGTAGAGATTGAACGGCTGAAGAAGTATATGGCAGGTTCGCGTCGTGTCGACCGGCGGCGACCTCGTTGCCTACGTTCAACGTTGAACGCCGCTGGCGACCCAGAATCGGTTGATGTTGAACGATCTGACGTTTCGGAAACGGTTGATCGTTCAAGGTTGACCGATCCCCACGGTGTCAGGAACCAACGCCAGGGTCGACACGACACGAACTTGCCGTGTACATGCTACGTGTTGTCTACCCTCAGAATCTATAGAAGTACGATTTTCTGCACAAGTTGGACTGGCGACAAAGTTTGGATTCCGAGTTGTCCGTCAGGGGGGGGGGCGTTCGTTAAGGAATGTGCCCAGAAGGTTTCAGACCCTAAATGATTATTTATCTGATGAGGGCGTTGGTGATACCAATGGCATACCCCCGATTGGAATCTCAACGGCTTCCAGACCCTGGGCTCTTTATGCGACGGTTGGGTGATTCATCCGATGGCTCCTTACCTTAAGCCATCACAGTATTATTCATGCTACTCGTGGCATCAACTCTCTTCCCCCCTCATGCCTCTTCCTCCTTCCTCCTGCCTCCTCTTTCCTCCATTGTTCCTTTGCGCATCCAGCCTGAGAATAAGCGCGGGACGAGTAAGATGTCTAAGATGTCCTTTTGCATCTCTAGATCGTGGAAGATATCTCCTAATGTCGGCGTCCAACTGTCCGTTAGACTGTGTAGCCGTCTTCGGGACTCACCCCATGTCTAGCAGTTCGCTGAAAGTGCACGCCTGCGAGCATACGTACAGGCTCTGCAGTACCAGCATTACCTAAACGCGCATTGCTCAGCATGGAGCAGCAGGTCCAACAAGTTTGCCGTGGCGTCGAATTGTTTGCCGTTGACACCGGCAGCTGCGTCGCAGGAAGACCAGGTCAGTCAAGGCTTGATTAATATTAGTGACGACGTTGCGAAAACTTGACTGTCCAGCGTTCGCAACATCGTCGCCAACATTAGTCAATGCAGCGTGCGTAGCAGTGAAATTTCAACATTGGCACGTGTTACACGCACCGACTTGCCACGCCTTGCCATGCGAGCATCAAAAGAGTGAGTGTGCATCGAAACAGATAAATGAGGCCATATGCAAGCGGCATTTCTCCACAAGGACGATCGCACCACATACATTGATTCGGCATGCAAGGCAGGAGATGGCTGCAGAGAGAGAGGAGAGCTGAGCAATAGCACACATCAGTTTCGAAGAAGTCTTGAACAAAGCATGTGTGCACTGCGGATGACCAGAAATTCGACCGCTTCTCGATAGTTTACACGAGTGGGTAGGGAATGTTTTGTGTTTATCGCTTGCCCCGCCCTTCAGATTGCGCTGCTCACGTCGCAGCCGCGAAAGGCCCGCTGGCAGCTCCTGCTGTCTCTGTGCCTGTTCGTTTCGACCGTCGCGGGGCGCCTGCTAGCAGCAAGTAGTGAGCCTGGCCTGGGGATCATTTGTTGACAGTCAGGGGTATCGCTTGATTGCCATTGGATTTTGAATCGTTTGCTCGTTTGGCGTGGCGGGGTTCGCTCGACAGTCGGGAGGTGCGAGCTGGCAGCGAGTTACACGTGGACGTGCCCACATGAAACCGCAGGTGGCCTGGCGGCGCATCTGCGAAGCCACCTGGGATGCTCCGAGTCGGTAGGCGACGCAGGTCGGATGCACGAGCACGCATTTGGGGTGTTTCTTCAGTCCCATGGAGGCGCAAGTTCCTGCGAGGCGAGCAAACATCATTGAGAGAAGTGGCGCGCTGCGGTGCAGGACGTCATGCTGCTCCGAATCGGGCTTTGGAAGTTTCAGTTGTGGTGTGGGGGTTATGTCATGTTATGGGCTTGACCGTGTTTGAAGGGCTGCACATGACTACGATTGACCTTCGCAGTCTCGACGCGAACAGAAGTCCGCCTGGCGGTGCGATGTATAGGTGCCTGTCCAAATTTCAGATCTCCAAGACACGTCATGTGTTTGCCTTCTGGAGCCACGTCGTGGTCTGCAAGATCAGCCGCGGAAGCGCAGCAGCAGCAGGTGCAGCAGCAGCAGCAGCAGTAACAAATCCGGTAGAGTGGGCAGGATCAGGAGAAGGAGCAGTGAGGGAATCACCAGGAGCCAGAGAGATGCAGGAAGGGACAAAACATACAGACACAATGAATCGTCGATCCCCCAGGAAAATATTGGAAAGTATGGGAAGTGGGGGGGAAAGACGAAAACCCAGAACATAGGGGCATCCTGTCAGTTGCGTCTGGTTATTTGTGTGTCTCTGGGCCCCTTGAGAGATGGCCGAAGGCGGGCCGAGGGGAGGGCGATCAAAAGAGGGGGGTCCTGAGGATCCGGGCCTCCCAAGTATTGGCACCGCTCGGCCGTGCGCGTGCTTTGGCCCGGTGGGGACTACGGAGGAGCATCTCGGATCGCCCCACGAAAAAAGAAGCGCACGAAGCCGGAAGATGCACAGGGAATGGACGTCCGAGCGATGGCAAGAAATGGGGCCAGGGCAGATGGGGTCGGAGGATGGCGCCGCAACGTTGATACGTCGGTGATGCGGCGCGACCTGGAGTCGCGCGCCACCCAAATATGCTGACACTATGTGCGCGTTGCCCCCAAGTGGGTGACACACGCGATGAGAATTCTTCTTGTATGTACACCGTGCCGGGCGCTTTCTGGTCATGCCGCTCGGGGAACGATGCACTGCAAGATGGTTGTACAAGATGCCCGGGCCGGACGCACGCCTCCGAGGAGGACACAGAGTACTATCATATCCTCTCCTGCGTCCCACGGAGCTTGTTGCTCTCCCTCCCGTCGTCGCCGACGCATGGCCGACGCATCGGCGATGCGGCGCCATCCTCCGACCCCAGTTGGGAGGCCTCCAGAGGAGCTGGAGCGGCAAGCAGGTCATGTAGAGGAGGAGGAGAAGGGGGAGGGGGAGGAGGAGGAGGAGGAGGAGGAGGAGGAGGAGGAGGAGGAGGAGGAGGAGGAGCGATCCAGGCACGGTGGGCTCATGGGCCTCTTGGCTTGCAGACTGCGCGCCCGCGAGCGGCCCTACCTGCAGAAGAACCTTTTTTTCCTTGTCCTCCCAGAGTGATCTTAGAGGCCTGTTCCAAGTGCCGTTTTCAAGTCGTTCTACAGACGGTTCTGGAGTCTTGAAGACTCCTGGCGCTTCTCGAATCCCCAGCAACCCATCCAGAAACTACGCCCTCACGGGCTGTCTAGATCAGGATGCAGGAGCATGCAGTCGAACGAAGATCCTGGGCATCAGCAGTCAAACCGAACCTCGAGAACAGCTTGATCATACCCAGGAGACCAACATACATACGCACATGCAGACATGCATCCATACAGGCAGGCATATCTGTCCAGGCATACATGCATACTAGAAACGGACATGCCTACTTACATGCATGCATGCAGGCATGCATACATATCTACATACGTACATGCACACCTACATTTGTTTAGATACATATATATATATATATATATATATATGAATAACTATATCCATGCATACATACATTCATACATGCACGCATGCTTGCATCCATGCATATGTACGTACGCACGCGCGCACCCACTTACCTGCAGGCATATCTATAGTTGTATGTATATACGAATAAAAGCGTACATGCGTACATACATACATACATACACGCATGCACTCATGTATATATATATATAAATGTGCACGAACGCACGCACCCACATACGTGCAGGAATACCTATATATATATGCAACCATGTATACATTCATTATACATACATACAGACATACATACATGCGTACGTACATACACTCATGCATGCATGCATGCATGCATGCCTAGACACAACCATGCGTTCATTCATGCATGCGAGCAAACATACATACACTCATACATGCATGAATGCATATACGCGTAGACAACATGCCATACATATACGTACACATACATACATGTATCGGAGCAGGCTAGGGGCGGAGGCCGGACCGCGGCCACGGGTTGGCATGGGGGCCCCCTGGGCCCCATGAGCTCCCTCGTGGCCTCCACAGTCGCCTCATGGGCGCACATATAATCAAAAAAATGTACGATAGTCTATTGGACCGAGATTCCGGAGAGCGCCGAAGATTCCTTGTGAGAGGCCTCCGAGGGCAGGCGTCTGTGGGCGCCCGAGGCCCCAGACGAATGCCCAGGGAGGAAGACCCCCCTCGGGTTTTCAATGTTTTTCGAGTCCTCCATTTTTCGAGTTTCAAACAATCGCAGACGGCCCAAGAGGCCCACAAGACCGCCTTAGGACGCGCCCAGAGATCCCAAGGAGAGCCCAGGGACTGCCTAACAGGGCCCCAAGATGCCCCCAGTGGCGCCCAAGACGGCCCAAGAGGCCCTGCAGACAGCCCCAAGATGGCCTTCCGATGGGGGAGCCTGAACCGAAATGTCGAGTTCTTCGCCCCAAGAGGCTCTCTGGAGGCCTCAAGAAGGCGCCAGGACGGCCCCGGGCAGGCTCCAGTGGGCGCCCGAGGCCCCCGACTGGTGCTCCCAGAGGCCAAAGTTTGTATTTGTTTCATGTTCCGGGGGTTCTCTACTTTCGAGTTCTCGACAGTCCACGACGGCCCAAGAGGCTGCCAACACCGCCTCAGAAAGGGCCCAGAGGTCCCAAGGAGGGCCCCGAGACTGCCTGACAGGGCTCCATGATGGCCCAAGGGGCGTCCAAGACGGCCCAAGAAGCCTTACAGACAGCCCCAATAGGTTCAAGAGGGGGAGCATGATTCGAAGTGTCGAGTTCTTCGCTCCAAGAGGCCCCGAGGAGACCCTTAGAAGGCGCCCAGGGGCTGCCACGAGACTGCCACGAGGCTTCAAAAGGACCCCAAAAGGCCCCCACGACGCCCTAAAAAGGCCCCAAAGCGGCACCCAAGAGGCCAAACAATGGCCCCCAGCAGGCCCCCGCGAGGCCTCCGCCGACATTCCTCCCACCACTTTCATGGTTTCCGCCCCACTACCCAGGCACGGTGGCGAGATGGGCCAAAGGCCATCCCAGTCTCGTTCGCACACCCCCGACGTTCCTTCTCACATCCTTTGCCGTGCCATCCCCAGCTCCTACATGTCTTTTTGGTCACCTTACACCTGCCCCGTGTCATTTCCAAACTTCACCACCGTCTGAAAATGTTCAAATGGTTCCATCTGGCTGTCCTTCGGGCTTTGCAGTCTCATGCGGGATGCCCTGGGAACCTCCACGAGGACCCAACACGGCCAACCCCCATCATGTTCCCAGAGAGTTTTCTGGGGAAATGATTGTCGCCGCCAGTCCGACGAGAAGACCGATGAGGAGGAGAAGGTTCCGCGCCATCCCACCGGACACTTCAATTCAGCGTAGCGTTGCCCCAGGACCCGTTTACAGCGAAATCGGGGTTGGGCCCGCAGCTCCGCGCCGAGTAGACTCGGTGTCGAGGGTGCTGCTTGCAACTGCCGGTTTCCTCTGCGACGCCCCCACGAGCCCCCCAGGAGTTCCCCACATGCCACATGCAGAAGGAAGGAAGGAGGAGAAGGAGGGGGAGGAGGAAGTATTTGTTTACAGCGTTCCGATTGGGTGGGCAGGATCTGTGATGGATCTTTTAGACAACGTCGTTTAGACATTCCAGTGATGCATGTTAGTCGCTGGCCGCAACTATTCGGTCCAAGTTCCAGGTGCCCCCAGGGAAACAAGGATTTGCATGGCAGCGGAGCCCGCGGTTCGCCCCCCGGTTCCAGCGCGCGCGGTCCCTTCCTCGAAGCAGTCACTTCCCTGCGATGGTCGCAGCGGCAGCCGCGACGGCCCCGCCGAAGTCTGGCACAGCCGAACCAGTCTTCGCTGTGACGTTACCCGAGGTCCGACAGAGCTGGTACAACCTGAGCTCGAACTGATTTGCGGAACTGTGCAACGCCAGCTACGAGAACGGAGATTTCAGGTGTGTCACCACCGCCTTCAGAGCCAAACGCGAAGGATGATGTTGCTTTCCGAACGCAGCGCCACGCTGGGTACCCAGACGGTTGATGATGATGACGCCTTCGCGACGTTGCAGATGAGTTATAAGTTGAATGCTTTTCTGATCACCAACGGCGACATGTCCTGCGAGAAAAAGTACATTTGACCAAAAAAACACGTTAGGACAGAACTCCAACGTCAATCGAAAGCTCCGCAGCGCGTTACCTCGGTCACCGACGCTGTACAGTCCGCCAAAAGCACGAGGGCCAGAGGAAGTGGAAGCAAACATTTTTAGCGAATATAAGGCGCCCAACCGCTAAAGATGTCTGCGGTTGACCGGGTCAAATTCGGGGAGTGGAGCGAGAAGTTGCTGAACGCGCTCGCCCAAGCGAAGCAAGGTCATCGGACAGCCTTGACATATTTGAATCGCAAATTCGGAACCATGGCCAAGCTCGTCTCTCGGGCCGCAGGTGGCGCGTCCTGAAGGGCACGACCCGCGTGACAATATATGAATTCCGATGCCGAAAACATTAAATTTCAACTGGAGCACGCTAGAACCTAAGCGCGCGCATTGCGCGCGTGGTTCTGTTTTACATAATTAGAATTAAATGTGTATATGTGTTTATGTATACATGTAGTTGTACGTAGGTAAAACCATATATATTGGTAAATTTGCATATGCATGAATGCATACATGTACACAAGACTGCATTTGGCGCTTCGCGCCATGCATTTTGGTCGTTGACATTTGGGATGCTACCGGAAGGGCAGGAACGCCGAATGTGTCACTCATGGTTGAGATTCCTCTTCTTCCTTCTCGCCTTATCATACGCACGCTTCCCCATTTCAGCTCGTTTTGCGGGCTTCCTCCTTGGAGAGCGTCTCAGGGGCCTCACGAAAGTTACGAAGGGTTTTCTGGGTTTTCTGGGGACCTTCTGGGGGCCTCCGGGGGGTTCCTCGGGCCACCCTGCTTCCAACCGCGGTTTCCTTGAACGACCGGATTACGACTTGGAATGCTTCGTGGGGCGTCTTGGAGCCATCCTGGGCCGTCGTAGGGGCTCTCTTCGGGCCACTTGGGGACCCTGGTGGGCCGTCTTGGGCTGTTTTGGACTGCTGGGGATCCCTTTCGGGTAGTTCTGGGGCGATGGTCGGGCCTCTTGTGCGGTTTCGGACGCGTGGAAGACCGAGGAACAGATTTGCCCCAAATCATGGGAAAAGCATAAAGGATATGAATGCTGCTGGCATTCCGAAAACCTCTTGGGGGTCTTCTTTGGCTCGTCTTCGGGTGGCTGGTGGGTGCCTGGGGCCTCTTCGGGCACTCGCGGTGCCGTTCGGCCGCCCTCTTGACCGATTTGGGCCCGCTGCCTGGACCAAGTAGGGGTTCCCAGGAGCCCCAGGAAGCCTGGGAGACCTCTTGCTGGGGCGCCCATGGGGCCCCCAAGGGCCACGGACCTGGGGGTCCAGCTTTTGGAGGAGGGGAGTGTCCACCCCCCCCGGATTGTTCACATGTAAAAGCGAGGAGACAGAGAGAGAGAGGAGGAGGAGGAGGAGGAGGAGGAGGAGGAGGAGAAGAGAGAGAGAGAGAGAGACACACGCACACACACACACACACACACACACACACACACACGCACGCACGCACGCACGCACGCACGCACGCACGCACGCACGCACGATCGCACGCACGCACGCGCGCACACACACACACACACACATCCTGGGGGGGCACCGCCTTCCGAACGGTCCAGACGGCACAGGGGGCTCCATAATTACCCAAGCACTGATTGGCCCAAGGGCGCCCGAAAACGCCCCAAGGTAGGCCCAGGACGGCCTAAGGAGGAGTCCCGCGATGGCGTCCTGAGGCAAGAATCGTTAATGTTCTGTGTCTTCCGGTTTTTCGGCTTCTCGGCGTTTCGTGCTTCGGACGCTCTGAGGCGGCCCAAGAGGCCCCCGAACCTAATTCAAAACGGCCCTAACTGGCGCCCAACACGGACCATGAAGACTAAGACCAAAGAAAAGGACGCGCAGACGACCCCAGAAGTGGCCCAGGAGAGTGAACGCGCACGGGCATTCCGAGCTTTCCGCTCCAGGAGGCCTCCCGGAGGCCCGGGGAGACTTCACAGAGGTTCCCAAAAATGGACCCCACGACGGCCCAGAAGCCTCCAAGGGGCCCCCACGAGAGCCACCCGGGACGCGGCCGGCCACCGAGGGTCCGAAAAAAAACTCCCAGACGGGGCAGAAGGCTGCAGTCAGACCCACGTACACCAAGAACGCTCAAAGAACCCCGCCTGTCTGTGGGTGCCGCTGAGCACCTTGCCTGTTTGCGGGTGCCGCTGAGCAGGCAGGCGACGAGCAACTCCCGGCACGTGCGAGCGGACCCATCCGGCTGCCTTGCAGCTTCGGCTTGGCGCCGAGCCTGTCGGCCGAGGCGCGCGCCCCAGAAGCTCCCGGAAGAGGCTCTCCGCCAGCCGCCTTGGGCGTTGCGTAATGGGGGGGTCATAAATGGGGGGTTGGTGAGAGTGGTCCGAAAAGGTACCCAAACGGTACCTAAACGAGCCCCCTGGGGGTCCAGAGGGGCCCGAAAGGGGCACGAAAGGGGACCGTTTCTGACCCCCCCATTTGTGACCCCCCCATTAAGCCACGCCCAGCCGCCACCATCGCAGTGCCATGCTCCATGCCGCCGTCGGCTGACGGCGGCGGGCGGTATCGCACCTGCCCGGCTGGTCGCCTGCACCGCCCGCACCAGCTTGGACCAAACAAGTGCGGGCGCCCGGCCCCAGGCGCGAGCGAAAAAGGCTACGGAGCAGAACGAGGAGCGAGGAGGGGGAGGAGGAGGCGAGGAGGAGGAGGAGGAGGAGGAGGAGGAGGAGGGCAAGGGGGAGGAAGAGGAGGAAGGAGGAGGAGGAGGAGGAGGAGGAGGAGGAAGAGGAGGAGGACATGAGGAAAGAGGAGGGAGGAGGAGGAAGAGGAGAGAGGAGGAGGAGGAGGGGAGGAGGAGGGAGGAGGAGGAGGAGGAGGGAGGAGGGGAGGGAGGAGGAGGAGGGAGGAAGGAGGAGGAGGAGAGGAGGGAGGAGGAGGAGGAGGAGGAGGAGGGAGGAGGAGGAGGAGGAGGGAGGAGGGGAGGGGGAGGGGGGGGGGGAGGGAAGGGGAAGGGGGGGAGAAGGGCGGCCGCCCACACCCCCTGACTGCTCTTACACACGGCCTGTCCGAGCTGCAGGAAGAATGGTGTGTTGCGCTGGAAGTCTCGACGCGCGATCGGGCGACATCTCTCCAACATCCAGGAGGAGGTGGAAGGGGAGAAACAAACGAGGGGGAGGAGGAGGAGGAGGAGGAGGAGGAGGAGGAGGAGGGAGGAGGAGGAGGAGGAGGAAAAGGAGGAAAAGGAGGGAGGAGGAGGAGGAGGAGGAGGAGGAGGAGGAGAGGGAGGAGGAGAGGGAGGACGAGGAGGAGGAGGAGGAGGAGGAAGAGGAGGAGGGGGAAGGTGGGGGAGGAGGGTGAGGATGACGATTTCGACGACGGGAGTCAAAGATAGAAGCCTCCGCGAATCTTTCGCTCCGGGAGCCTTTTGGAGGCCCCCTCCAGCCATCGTCAAATCCTCTCGGAGATATGTTGAAGGCTTTCGGTCCCTTCTTGGGCGGCGCATCTTTGGGCCATCGCGAGGCCCTGGGGACTTTCTGGGGGCCGTATGGGATGACATCGATCAGGAACAGAGGGGGTTCAAGTGCGATCATACCCCCCGTCGGAATCCGAAAAATCGCATCTGCGGGCAGCCTTGGAGCGCCCTTGGGGCTCTCTGGAGGCTGCGGAGATCCTTGGAGGGAACGTATGAGGGCGGTGGGAGCTCGAGCCACCTGCGAACCCCCCGTCCACGCCCAGGGGAGGGGTTTCCCCGAACAAGGCCGGCGGACCCCTCAGGGCCACGAGCAGCCACACAGCCAGCGTTGGGCGGCTTCCAAGACGGCCCGGAGCGCCGCCGAAATGGCCCCGGACGGCCCCAAACGGCCAGACGAGGCACAGCAAAATGAGACAAGACCCATAGAAGATACGCCCAGACAGCCTCCGAGTTGGACCCATATGACCCATATGGCCCCGAGACGCCTCTGAGAGAGTCCCCGAGAGGTCAAAATCTTTCAAACACCTCAGGTCAATGGTGCTTGCCTTATCGCTGCTGCTTCGCCCCCAGACGGCCAGTGAGTCCCCTTGATGGCATCAAGAGGGTCCCAAGAGATCCCCAAGACGGGCCTCAGGGGCTCCGTGGGCCTCCAACAGAGCTACCCAAATGAGTCAAGACCGCCCGCATATGGAAAAGGCCGACAATGTCCAGCGCCGAGGGTGCCAAAACGGCCCAAAGTGGCAACCAAGAGGCCTTCCGGAGGCCCCGAAGAGGCCCCAAAACGACCCCAAGGATTCCACGAGGCCCCCAGAACGCCTCCCGGGCTTGGGGGGGGATCTTCCCGCGCGGTGTGCGGAGTGGGGCGAACCTTCCCCGAGAGGCATGAGAGCGCTTGCCAGAGGAGACGCTGCAAACCACCTCCCCCCTTGGGTTGGTGGTGTTCCTCCCGCCAGTGGAAGCGACGTGCCTGTCTGGATGCGAAGTTCTGTGCAAAGCCGGTCCTGTCAGGGTGGCAGTTGCCCGGCGGCGAGGCCACAGTGCGCGCGGGAGGACAGAACGGTTGCAAGGTGATGTCGCTGTCGAAGGACGCCCGCAACGCCCTCCTCTGCATGTCAAGCAGGGCATTGCTCATGATTCAGGAGGAGAAAAACCACACAGACACAATGAATCGTCGATTCCCCCGAAAATATCGGAAAATAGGGGCAGTGGGGGGAAGACAAAAACCCAGGAAATGTGGGAAACTATGGGGCATATGATTTCTATGTGTGTATTAATCTGTGTGCGCGGGGGCCCCTTCAGTGATGGCACGGCCCTGCGAACTTCGAGCAACAAGACACAGCATGAGCATACGCGTTCGGAGCTCCGCGCGGACGTCTCGGGTCGGCGCCGTGCCCCCCCCCGTGGCGGCTCCGCGCGCCACGGAGGGGGGGGGGGCTGGCGCACAGCCGAGAGATCCGCGCGGAGCGCCGCAAGGATATATGCTGTGTGCAGTTGGTGACTGCTCTGTAGCTCTCCTGAATGCCGAGTTAAGTACAGAACACCGTCAACGCGTGTCAAGATGACTCGAAACGGCCGATCCCGCCGCGACGCTTTTTGCCAGTAACACGTACCCGATCGAGCTGAGAATAAGACGGCGAGCGGGAACAAGATCGAATATGGTCAGAAAAAATACTAGAGCTCCAGTCGAGTGGGGCACCTGTTCATGATGGCATGGCACTGCGATCTGCTATCTTAGTCGACGTGTAGGATAATTAAGTACGTTGCCCCTCGCACTGGCAGCTTCAAGAGCAAGCAGGGCCGCACCCACCCAGCAAGTCGTACCTCACAGTGGGGGGGCCGAACGAACGGTCATTCACTGTCCCTGGGCGCGTGGCTGAAGTGAGGTTCTGCGGTGCGGATTCTTGTTGTGTGTTGTCGTCGTCCCCCCCGCGACCCGGCCCGCGACCCACCCGCGACCCACCCGCGACCCACCTGCGACCCACCCACGGCCCCCCGGCGACCCACCATGCGACCCACCCGCGACCCACCCGCGACCCACCCAGCGACCCGCCCGCGACCCACCCAGGACCCACCCGCGACCCACTCGTGACCCACCCGCGACCCACCCGCGATCCGGCCCACGACCCACCCGCGACCCACCCGCATCTGCGACTCACCTGCGACCCACCCCGCGACTCACCAACAGCGTTCTAATGAAAAAACCGGCGCCTGCGGCGGGCTCGCTGTATAATTTGCAAAAATATGGCGCCTGCGGCGGGCTTCAGAGTCTCGCAGGCTGCCGACGTCCCCGCAATCCCCCCACTTTCATCCGCAATCGCGGGTTGTTACGTAAACGCGTGCTTGAGTGTCTGAAGGTTGCTATGGTCAGGGCTCTCCCTTTGCACCGAAGCATTCGTACTGCGCAGCCGAAGAAGCAGTCGTTAGAGGGGACAGAGGGGCAAGCATGGGAGTGGAGCAGCGAAGATGCTGAGCCAGATGCTAGTCAGAAGAGCGCACCGTGAGGGGCATCTTGTTTGGTTTGGCAGATAAAAGGCACCAGCATGTACATGGCAAGTCTGCTGAGCTGTGGAACGGTGTTGGCTAATTAGTCGCCAGCCGCCCGTGCTTGGCCAGGAAAACAAACTCCGACTCCCTCCCCTCGAATCAAATTTCCTGAGATGGGCCCACCCGACCCATCACCAAACGATTCTCGAGACTTTACGCGACTACTCGGGACCATGGGCCGCCAGAGAGCTCCAGATGGGCCGCGAGAGCGCCAACAGGCCCTCAAAACGGCTTCAGAAAGCTCCAAGACGCGACGATGACGGCCGAGGAAGCCCCCCAGGTTGCCCAAAAGGCCCCCAGGTGGAAATGATGTCGCCACGGAACGCTACAGGATGAGTTCGTTCTCTATCTTCTGACTCTGGCGCCTCCCCTTCCTCTACAACACGAAACGACAACTATGTTCCAGCATGGACCCCAAGCGGTACGTTACTCCGGAGGTGTTAGCCATGTGGTGTGAGCCATGCGGCGTAACCAATGCGGCGCAAGTTGTGCCAACAAGGAGGGCACGGCGCGGCAACGAGTCGACGACAGGCGGGCAGCGTGGCAAAGAGGCGGGCGGCAACGGGCAGCAACCTGCCGAAACCTCTGCGGACCCTTCGAGCGCGGTGGGCGGCAGTGAGGCGGCAACGGGCAGCAACCCGGCGAAACCTCTGCGGACCCTTCGAGCGCGGTGGGCGGCAGTGAGGCGGCAACGAGGCGGCAAGCTGGCGAGAACTCGGCGGGCCCCCCAAGCGCGGTGGGCGGCAACGAGGCGGCGACGTGGCGGAACCTCGGCGGAGCCCCCTAAGCGCGAGAGGGCGGCAACGAGGCGGCAGCGTGGCGAAGTCTCGTCGGACCCCTGGTGGCAACGAGGGGGCAACGGGCGGCAACGTGGCGAGGCGGCACCAAGGCGGCGACTTGGCGAAACCTCGGCGGACCCCCCCTAAGCGCGGTGCGCGTTCTCGAGGCGGCTCCGGGCGGCAGCGTGGCGAAACCTCGACGGACCCATCCAAGTCTTTCGCAACCGAAGAAAGGACTCCGTAGTGCGAGCGCTGCTGAGGGAAAAGGAAGCGCTTCAATGAATCATGCGCAGGGCCCCTGGGTCGAGAATCGCCCAACCTCCGTTGGTGTTCACTCATTCCCGCAGCCTGTCCACCACAGCTCCAGATCGCCCAACGGCTGATCACGAATGCCCCCTCTAAAGCTCAAAAGGTCTCCTGGCGTCCACAAAAGCCCCGTGAGCAGGCCCCATGTGACCCCAGGGAACATGCATGACCGCCCCACAGGGCCCACGAGCCAGTCCCCGAAGTCCACTTGTGCCTTCAGCTTCCCCGAGCCTCCCAAGGCCTCCCATGCCCTGCCCCCCATCCCCCAAAGAATCTCCCAGCGGCTCCCAGCGCTGGCCAGAGATCCCCAGGCCTCGAAGGCCTTCTGAGCTCTCTCAAGGCCACCCGAAAGCTGCCTGAGGTTCCCAGAGCATCCGCAAGACCCCAAAGCATCTCCCAGGAGTGTCCCAACCTTGGAGCACCCGCAGGACCTTCTGGTGACACCCAAGCGCGGCGCAAACCATTCGAAGACTATCCATGGCCGCCTCGGCCTCCCCGCGAGTGCATCCGCGTGCCCACTCATCAACTGATGGATGAATGAGTGCATAATGGTTGCTGCATCCTCTCGGGAGCTGTTGCGAAGTTAGGGTGAGGGGGCCGAACGGTCATTCATTGTCCCCGGGCGCGTGGCTAAAGTGTGTTCCGTGGTACGGGCTGTTGTTGTTGTTGCTGTGGTTGTTGGTGGTGGTGGTGTTGTTGGTGGTGTTGTGTTTGTGGTTGGTGTAGCTGTTGTAAGTGTTGCTGTTGTTGTTGCTGCTGCTGTTGAACTTTCACTTCTGAAGAATAAGTATTGTTGATCCCCCTGTCGGGTGCACATTGTTTTTTCTCGATTGAAGTGCTTTTCCCGGGGCTCGCACCCTGTTTTTTATCAGGGAAAGTCTTGAGGGTCAAATTGTGTCGTTGGCCCCCGGGTTACAACAACAACGGCTCCCGCCTGAGACCTCCTCACAATTTAGCCAGGACCCCAGCTCCCGCCCGAGACGTCCGTGCATGTTATTCAGGAATCGCGCTCTCGCTTGGGACTTCCTTACAATGTATTCAGGAATCGCTCTCCCGGCGCTCTGGAGTCGCGCTCTGCCTGGAGACTTGCTTACAAGTTACTAAAGAATAGCGTCCTTGCGTTGGAAAATGTTGCAAATTACTCAAGCGCCGCGCTCTCGACACCCAGGCACCCAGGAGTCGCGCTCACGTTTAGGACCCCCTCACAGATTACCTAAGAATCGGGATCTCGCTGCCCTTCGTGGCCCCCGTCGCAGCCCTTCGTGGCCCCTTCGCTTTGTTTCGCGGCCCCGTTGCAGCCCTTCGTGGCCCCCTCGCTGCCATTCGCGGCCCCGCTGCAGCCCCTCGTGGCCTCCTCGCTGCCCTTCGTGGCCCCGTTGCAGCCCTTCGTGGCCCCCTCGCTTTATTTCGTGGCCCCGTTGTAGCCCTTCGTGGCCCCCTCGATGCCCTTCCTGGTCCCGTCGCAGCCCTTCGTGGCCCCGTTGCAGCCCTTCGCGGCCCCCTCGCTGCCCTTCGTGGCCCCTTCGCTGCTTTTCGTGGCCCCATATATGTATGCCCTTCGTGGCCCCCGCTCGTTTGCGCCCGTGGTGGCCCCATATGCATGCCCTTCGTGGCCCCGCTGTCGCCCTTCGTGGCCCCCTCGCTGCCCTTCGTGGCTCCGTTGCTGCCCTCAGTGGCCCCGTCCTTGCCCTCCGCGGCCCAGTATACGTATGCCCTTCGTGGCCCCCGTTCGTTCGCGCCCGTTGTGGTCTCATGTGCATGCCCTTCGTGGCCCCGCTGTCGCCGTTTGTGGCCCCCTCACTGTCCTACGTGGCCCAGTTGCTACCTTCAGTGGCCCCGTCGTTGCCTTCTGTGGCCCCGCATGATCTGCCTTTCGTAGCCCCCGATCGTTCGCGCCCGTCGTGGCCCCCCTATGCGCATGCCCTTCGTGGCCCCGTTGTCGCCCTTCGTGGCCCCCTTCCTGCCCTTCGTGGCACCGCTGTCGCCCTTCGTGGCCCCCTCGCTGCCATTCGTGGCCCCGTTGCTGCCCTCAGTGGCCCCGTCCTTGCCCTCCGCAGCCCAGTATACGTTGCCCTTCGTGGCCCCCGCTCGTTCGCGCTCTTTGTGGCCCCATACGCATTCCCTTTGTGTCCCCGCTGTCGCCATTCGTGGCCTACTTCGTGTCCTTGTGGCCCTGCTGTCGTTCTCTCTCGCTCTCGCTTTCGCTCGTCGTCGCCGTCGTCGTCGTCGTCGCCGTCGTCGTCGACGCCGTCGTCGTCGTCGTGGTCGTTCCCCTGTCCGTCCCTCTTGGGGTCGGGTCGACGGTCCGCGGCCGCCCCGCCGATCAGCGCTGCCGCTGGCCAGGCCGACGGTCCGCGGCCGCCCCGCCGCTTGCCAGGGCCCGGCCTGCGGGGAAGAAAGGTATACCCCCCAAAAGGGGTTCGATCGAAGACGAAGAGGGCGGGTATCAAGGGTTTGGGAAATACGCGTTATTGGACACTCGAGCAGGTAAGGGCGAACAGTCTTCCAATTATTGTTGGTGTTGTTGTTGTTGGTGTTGTTGTTGTTGTGTGTGGCTGCCTCCGATGATGATGATGGCGATGATGATGTTGGTGCTGTTAATGATGGTGGTGTTGCTGTTGTTGCTGCTGCTGTCGAGTTTATTTCATGTCTCAAAGAATAAGTAGTGTTGATCCCCCATCCCCGGTGCCCGTATGCGTTGTCCCATAAAGTGCTCCTCCCAGAACTCGCACCCTGTTTGTTACAAGGGGAAGTCTGGGGGCTCAGACTGCGCCCCCGTCCCCCGACTTACAACAACAGCTGCTCCGCCGGATACTTCCTCACAGTGTATTCCCAAATCGCGCTCTCGCGTGGGACTTGATCGTGATGTATTCAGACGCCGCGCCCTCGACACTCAGGAGTTACGCTCTTACTCTGGCCTTTCTCACGATTTCCTTGGGACTCGAACCATCGCTCGAGACTTGCTCGCGATTCATCCAGAACTCATGCCTCAGCGACCCGCCTACCCGACCCAGCCGCCTGGGCCCGCCTTCCCGACCCGCCCGTCGAGATCTACCCGCCCGATCTGCCCGTCTGGTTCTGCCGCGTGTGTTCTGTTCCTAGCCCCCCTCCTGCTAATTTCTCTCGTGCTCAAGCCTTCCTTCTCCCTGCCACTTGTCCCTTCCTTATGTGCGTCCTCTCTTCCCTTGTTTTAGGTGCTGCACCAAATACACGTGGCAGATAAGGAAGACATACCCCCAAAAGGGGTACGATCGAGGACGAAGAGGGCGGGTTTCGAGGGTTGGGGATAGACGTGTTGAATGACACGCGAGTGCATAAGAGCGAACGGTCTTGAAATATGTGTTTGTTGTTGTTGGTGGTGGTGTTGCTGTTGCTGTTGTTGTTGCTGTTGTCGTTGCTGTTGTTGTTGCTGTTGCTGTTGCTGTTGTTGTTGCTGTTGTTGTTGTTGTCGCTGTTGTCGTTGTTGTTGTCGTTGTCGTTGCTGTTGCTGGTGCTGGTGCTGTTGCTGCTGTTGTTGTACTTGTCGGTGTCGTTGTTGCTGATGTTGCTGTTGTTGGTGCCGCTGTTGTTGTTGTCGCCGTCCTCGCCCAGCCCGCGACCCGTCCGCGACCCAGCCCGCGACCCACCCGGCGCCCCCCCGCGAGCCACCCCGCGCTTGCCCGCGAGCCACCCCCGCGCCCGCCCGCCCCCGCCCCCCGCTCCCGCCCGCAGCGGCGGGGCACCGCGCACCCTCTCCGCCGACGCCCTCCGACGCCCGCCCCGCCCTCCGCGGGCGCAGGCGAGCGCCTGGGCGGGAGCATGCGGAAGTCGGGCATGTCCCTCCACAGGAGGAAGATTCAAAACTGTTTTTTTTATTTATTTATTTTTCCCAAAAAAAAAAAAAAATCGGGGGACTATGTTTTTGGCTACACTTGACTATTTTTGAATATGTTTGGCTGTTTGGGGTGTTTCTCATTTGTCGTCCGATGTCCCCCTGTAGGAGGACATGCCCGACCTAAGAGTATGCGCAGCCACCAGGGAGCCCTCCAGTGCGCACGGAACGCGCGGTGTGCAAGCATTACGCAAGTACCATTTAACGACTCACGCGATCGCCATTGAAAGGCCAGGGCTCGACAGCACGCGAAGCGCACCCTCGGCGTATTGTATGTGTCGTCGCGCCGTGTGTTCCGACGCGCAGCCTTACATGGTGGGGAGGGCGCCGCGGCCACCAAGGCAAGCGCCGCCTTGGACGCGGCCTGTTCGCCTTGGGTTTGCCGTGGGTTTGCCGTGGTGTCGGCGTCGTCCACTCGGGCGCGTCGAGGACCGGCGCGGTGACATGGATTGATTCATGTATGCGAGGAAGAAAAGCTCCGAGGCGATCAAATGAAGCCGGAAGGTCTCATTCGCGATTGTTTTGGACAGTTCGTTTGAGACATATTCCGAATTTCGAAATATCGGACGCACCTTCCACGCACATCGCGACATTAGAGCCGAAAGTATAAAAGCGTAAAAGCTTCAAGCACAAAATTGATCTCAATGACTTGGGATGCAGTCCTGGGGGGAAATTGCAGTGTCGCGTGAGACATCCCGCAACATAGGAACCCGACGTCGGAGGTTGGGGGGTGAGATCGCAGTTGAACGGAGACCCCCAAGTGGGAAATCGTTTCGTTTCGTTCGTGTCGTGCATACGGTCGAGGCGAAGCTGCGTGGGCGCGCGAGAGGAATGAAGCCGCCGCTGCCCCGTCTGTCCGTCCGTCCGTCCGTCCGGCGGTGGACCTAGCGGTGTCCAGTGGTGTCCTGTGGTGTCCCGTTGAGTGAGATCGATAGTGAGATCGATACGGAGATCGATACTAAGAGCGATACTGATATCGATATTGCGAGCAATATGGTGCACCGAATTGTCCCGTGGTGTTCCAAACAGTGAGATCGATAGTGAGATCGATAGTGAGATCGATGTGGTTCCCCGAGGTGTCCCGTGGTGTCCTGTTGAGTGAGATCGATAGTGAGTTCGATATCGAGATTGATACTGAGATCGATGTGGTGCCCCGAGGTGTCCCGTGGTGTCCCGTGGTGTCCTATGGTGTCACGTTGAGTGAGATCGATAGTGAGACCGATAGTGAGATCAAGAGGTGTCCCGCGGTGTCCCGTGGTGGCCCGTGATGTCCCGTGGTGTCCCGTTGAGTGAGATCGATGGAGAGATCGACAAGTGTCCCGTGGTGTCCCGTGGTGTCCCATGGTGTCCCGTTGAGTGAGATCGATAGTGAGATCGATTGAGTCAGATGTTGGTAACCCCACCAGCCCATCCTGAAACGATGCCCAGGCGAGTTGCCCTGATCAGACATGTGGGGGAGCACGCAGTGGAAGACAGGGCTGGGGAAGCCGTCATACCCCAAGAGGGGGAGGACGGAGGGGGAACCAGACGAGGAAGGGGAGGAGGAGGGGGAGGGGAGGAGGGAGGCGGGGGATGAGGGAGGAGGTTAGGACGGACGAGAAAGAGGAGCAGGAGGAGGAGGAGGAGGGCGAGCAGAAAGGCCAGAGGGTTTTTGGATGCCTCTCGGAGTTTCTTCGGATGTCTCTTGAGAGCTTCTTGTAGGCCTCTTGGGGCCTCTTGGGATCCTCGTGGCGGTCCCAGGGGCCTCTTGAAGCGTCTTGGGCGCCTCGGGGGAGCTTCTTCGGGCCTCTTGGGGGTCTCTTAGGCGCCTCCTGGAAACATCTTGGGGGCCTCTTGGGGCCATCTCGGAGGAGATCGATCACGGGGGCGTAATTAGTAAATTAGCCCCTTTTCCCAGGAGGCAGAATCTCGGCTAAACCTCGTAAAATCACTGCTTTGGGCATTATCACCGATGCGTCTTGGGGCGTTTTGGATGCCTCTGGGGGGCCTCTGGGGGCTTCTTGGGGGACGTTTGAGAGCCCCTTGAAGTCATCGTGAGGGTCTTTGGGGGGGCCTCTTGGGGACTCCTGGCCACCTCTTGGGGTCGCCTTGGGGCACCATCGGAAGCCTCGGGTGCTCTTTAGGGGCCCTTTTGGAGGAGATCTGTCAAAGGAGGGGGGATCCTCTAATAGGGTCCCTCCTCCGGGAGGCCAACATGTAGCCAAAACCTTAGTACAATACATGATGTAATCTTTCTCACCGAGGCCTCTTGCGGCGTCTTGGGTGCATCTGTGGGGGGCCTCTGGGTGCTTCTTAGGGGGTCTCTTGAGAGCCCCTTGAGGTCATCTTGGGGGTCTCTTGGGGGCCTCTTGGAGGCTCCTGGGCCCCTTTTGGGGCCGTCTTGTGGCACCATCGGGAGCCTCGGGGGCCATACCGGGGCCATCCTGGAGGAGACCGATCAAAGAAGGGAGAGGTTCCAGTTACGCCCCCCCTCAGGAGGCCAAACTGTTGCCCAAACCATAATACATTCAATGATGCTGGCCTTCTCGCCGAGGCCATCTTGGAGGCAAGGAAGGGGGCTTGGAAGAAGAAACTCTCTGAACCACCCACGCCCATAGGGCTGGTGGGATTCTCCAAAACGACAGTTTCGCTCGACACGTCCTCCCAAAGCTGACTTCGGAGCTTGCTTCCAACTGCAATCGCGAGGTCTCTTCCTGCGCTACACTCATCGCAAGGTGTGGCAACCCCACCTGCATTCGACTGAGATCCCACTATTGCACCTTGTTCTCAACAGCAATATGGTGATCCTCATCATTATCCGTCTCTCCTTTTTCCTGTGTGTCCGACTTCATGATCCGATATATCAAGATTCTACAATGGTCACGTGTTGCAGTTACTTTTGTATGAGCTTGGACTCGCACGTGCCACATGCGCATCTGTGTATGCATCACATTTAAATGCTTGTAAATGTGTGTATGACATTGATTCCGACTTCACTTGATCATACTTCTCGCCTGGTGTTGGCACATCGGCCGAATTGCACGCTCAACTCTTTCTGGGCACGCGGCGCGTTGAGCACTTCCACATCCCTGTCCAGATCAGACCCATAAGCCTGATGCTTGCGATCCCCTTCATCCTCAATCCTTGTCTTCCTCGTCTGTCCGCTTCACCCGCACTGTGTTCGATAGCTCTTTCTGGACGCACCCGTCGTATCATGTAGTTTCCCCTGCAGTTCACCGGGACAGGAGAACTTCGACCTCTTGCTCGGACCCATTAGCGCAATATTGAAGAAGGAAAAGGATCAATACCCGCAATACGCAGACTTCTTGAGAATTGCTGCGTCGAAGGAGCTGATGTTGTCTTCGCACGAGCGTGCATGTTGCCTTATCTCTGGCGAGTGGTAAGAGGCTGGTGGCGAGCTGTGCCCTCGAAACTTCCCTGGTTGTTGCGAATGTCTATGTCCTATCGCTTCAGGGCGCTACGGCAAGCGCGTGTGTGTGTGTGTGTGTGTGTGTCGACGTGCGCGCGCTTGCCATCATGACAGACGTAGGCTTGACAGAGTCATGCTAATCAGTTCTGTGTCCAATTGCTCCCCGCCTCAAAATATTATTTAACGTTTTCGATTTCGCACGATAATTGCATGTAGCCAAGGTCTGGATCTGGAGTTGGCTTGCGTAGTTGCATGTCCTACTGGTGTTCAACACGGTGTTGTGGGGTCTCTCGCATGTCTTCCGTTGCAAGAAAGACGAAGCATGTGAACATGGGAAAGGTGTAAATATGTTATGGCCTTCGGCCCATCCCGCCAACGTGCTTGAATTTTGGGTCTGAAGCCTATTGGATGTTCGTTGGGATCTCGTGGGAGGCCTCTCGGGGGCCTCTTGGAAGCAGTTTGGAGGCCTCTTGGGCGCTGGTTTGAAGCCTCTTGGGGGCCGGTTTGGGGCATCTTGGGGCCTCTTTGGGAATTCTTGAGGGCCTTTTGGCGGCCTCTTGGCGGCCTCTTGGGGGCCTCTTGGGGCCTCCTGGGCGCCGCTTGGGGCCTCCTGGGGGCTTCTTGGGGCGGAAGGCTCGGATTTTCGGTTCGTGTTCCCTCTCTTGGGCCCCTTTTGGGGCCGTTTTGGGGCCCTCTTGGGCTGTCTTGGGCGCCGCTTGGGCCGTCTTGGAGCGCTCTCAGGCCGTCTAGGGGCGCTCGTGCAGGCCTCTCAGGCCGTCTTGGGGTGGTCTTGGGGGCCTCTTGAGCCGTCTTGGAGCGTCGGAAAACAGAAAGGCGAGAACGCCCAAATCCTTCAAAAACCTTAGGGGAATCAGTAATTTTGGCCTCTCGGGGCCCTCTTGGGAGCCCTCTTGGGAGGCCTCTTGGAGACCTCTTGGGGCGTCTTGGTGACCTCCAGGGTCGTCCGGGAGCCGTCTTGAGCGTCTCAGAGCGATCGTTCGGCATCCTGGGGCCCTCTGAGGACCGCCTTGGCAGCCCCTTGGGGCCACCTGGGCCCCTCTTGCGGGCCTCTCGGGTCCCAAGAGGGCACGTGGGAAGCCCAAGAGATTTTCCGGAATTTGGTGTCAGGGCCCCGGAAGGACCCCTCAGGAGTGAGGATCAAGGCTTACAGTGGAAGCCCGTTCCAAGGAACACCCCGCTTGCCTCCAGGGTGCCCTGGGTCTCTCGGGTTCCGGTGGTTTTGCTTTGGAGAGCGTGACGTTCCCACGCCAAAAATCGATGGACATCCTTCAGAGCGTGAATTACCTACCCCGCTTTCGCTTCCAGGCAAAACCAAGCCATACCACGCGCCTCCTTGTCAAGCGGCCTGACCAGTACAGGCTGCAATTTGGCATCGTTTGGTATCTCTTGGAAGCGAGGGTGGTCAAAAGCGAGGTAGGTTTGTTTTCCCCCTAATCCTGGGGTCTCAGGGCTGGGTTTCCTGTGGGAGGTCCCTTGTGGCCGAGCTCCCACGGTGGGGGGCTGGGCCCAGGACCCGTGGGCACGCCCACTCCCTGCCAGGCGGCGCCTCCTCCTCCTCCTCCTCCTCCTCCTCCTCCTCCTCCTCCTCCTCTCCTCCTCTCCTCCTCCTCCTCCTCCTCCTCCTCCTCCTCCTCCCCTCCTCCTCTCCCCCTCCCCTCCCCCTCCCCCTCCCCCCTCCCCCTCCTCCTCCTCCTCCTCCTCCTCCTCCGCCTCCTCCTCCTCCTCTTCCTCCTCCTCCTGCACGGTGTCAAGTCACGACCAAAAGAGCGTGCCTTCTTCAGCAGTCGCCCAGCGCGACCAAGAGAGTGCTCATTGTGGCGACGTCTGCCGACAAGCTGGAGGACAAGACCACGGGCGTGTGGAGCGAAGAATGCACCGGCCCGTACTACCACTTTGTCGACAACGGTTGTGCAGGCCCCCGGTCTTCTTCGGCAGGGTTTGCGTTCACATGCTTGTTGAAATTCGATTGCCTTCCTTATCTCGTCCGACTCGGTGGTCGCACAGGCTGCTCGATCGCAACAGTCGGATTGATTCTCATGTTTTCGTTTCGTCACCGTCGGTTTGAACACGTGCATTAGATGAGCGCGAGCTGTCGCGAAATTGTCTACGCTTCCCAGGAACAACCAGGAGCACGATTAGGGCAGTAAGGACGTTTCGTGCAAGAGTTCTGCGCGGAGGCGCACGCAGAGAAGTGAATGTAAACTCGGTTTTGCTCGAACGACTAAGCACTCATCTCGAAGGTGGTTTAGCCAGAAAAGAACGCATGACATGTTGAACACGATTGAATCTGCTGACAGGGACGTGTCGCATGAATGTTTTTTATGACGTCTACGGTCGAAAGTTTAAGCCCCGTTCTTTCGTACGCCACCAGTCACCACTCCAAGTTTTGCAGGGCACCTAGCATTGGACAGCGCCCTCATCGGACTCTCGCCCAGATCTCGCAGGACATGCGAAATGTATCAGGTCGTTCTTACCGCGGTTCAGTCAGATTCTGAAAATCCATACTTGCGGGCCCCATGGATACATGAAAAGAAAACAGGCCCGCGTGAAGAGACAGGGATGCAGGGATGTTTGTATTCGGCATAGGGGGTGGGGTTCGCAGCACGGGCGTCATTAAAATGATCACAAGTTGCGTAGCAACGACGATGAGCAATGACAAGCTGATGTGATTGCGATGGCAATGATGGTGATTTGACGATGACGACCATGATGAACCCCCTTTTCCCTCCCTTCCCCTAGACTCATAGTGAGCATTGTCTATGTCCCTGTTTGGCGGAATGTTGCGTGCGTTGTTGGTATACAGTCGTTGTAACTGTTCAGTTCGGCTTCGGTCACAGATGGACACAGTGGTAAAACAAAAAAAGACGGGACCTGGTTCCAACCTCAATTACCAAGTCCAGTCCCTGACCACAGCAAGCCCTAATTCACATTCAGTCCAAGCCGTGTCTAACACATGGTTATTTTACTGACGCTTCACGTACCCGCACCAGCCCATCCAGAAACTGCACCCAGGCGAGCCGTCAAAAGAACGGACGTCGATGACCTCATCGTGAGGCAACGAGGGTCACAATGGTGAACTTAGAGCTTGTTGGATCCTCTTGGAGGATTCTTCGAGCAGCATGTGAGGTCTCTGGGAGGGCCCTTTCGGGTTCCCCTGAGGCGATACCGGGGCGTTCCAGGAGCCTTCTGCGGGGCCGTCCTGACCCTCTGGCGGCCATCTTGGAGGCCACCGAAAAAAAGTTCCAAAAATTGCACTGGCCCTCCGCCTGGAGCCCGAGAAAGTGCCTCTTGAGACGCTCTTGAGGGGCTCCTGGGCGTTCTCGGGGTCCGCATTGGGGCTCTGATAGGCCCCTCGTGAAGTCCCAGGAGCGCATCGGAAGCGCACAGGTGAGAAGGCCCACATTAGTGGCACACCATGTTGAATGATTTCGGACACTCGCGGGTATCCTCGGGGGGCTCAAGTCCATTTGGAGCAGGAGGAGGAGGAGGAGGAGGAGGAGGAGGAGGAGGGGGAGAGGAGGATGAGGAGGAGGGAGGAGGAGGAGGAGGAGGAGGAGGAGGAGGAGGACGAGGACGAGGACGAGGACGAGGAGGAGGAGGAGGAGGAGGAGGAGGAGGAGGAGATGGAGGAGGAGGAGGAGGAGGAGAGGAGGAGGAGGAGGAGGAGAAGGGGGAGGGGGGAGGGGGAGGACGGGCCGCCTAAGCCCTTCGGAGAACCCCCCCACACCCACCCCTCGCTGAATTCCGGGGCAACGCTGGGGGGCGGCTGGCGCTGGGGAGGAGGCGTCGACCCTCCATCGCCCCTTCGCCGCCGGCAGGGGCCCGACGCGCAGCGCCGTCGGAGGGCGATCGCCGGTCTGTCGGCGATGTATCGCCGATTTCAGGTCGACGTTTCCCCCCCAAGCCAGGCGCCCCCAACCCTCCTCCTCCTCCTCCTCCTCCTCCTCCTCCTCCTCCTCCTCCTCAATCCCTCTCCTGGGCTCCAGTTGTCATCTGCTCCATCGCCGGCGGCGACATCCCCGTGGACCCGGGCTCCCTGGCCGACGGCTTCAAGACCGACAACGACAGGCGGATGGAGGAAGAAGGCTGGGCGCCCATGAGAGGCCGAGCGGCACTCAAACGGGGCGCCCCAGGGAGTGCCTCGCGCCAGGAGAGCCCAGGGTGTGCACATCTAGCCCTCGGCGGAGGCTGGTGGGAGTGATGGAAGGCTCGCGGAAGGCGGTGGACATAAAAAAAAGCATGAGGGCGGTCCCGCCAGCGGAAGCTTGTGCATCGGGCACACACAGACGTTCCGTGTTTAGTGTCGTGCTTGTCCTAGGTTGTTGAATCGCCCAAAGTTCTGCCAGGCTGGGTTAGTATTGGGAGGGGTCTTCCGTCCCATCGAGCATCTGCATGCACACGATTATCATCAGCAGCATTGGTGGGAATGCATCAGTAGGTGGAGTAATATAGCATGTGAGTGATTTTGGTGCGTACCGTTTGACGCAAAGTTCGGTGTCGGATCTCGTTCGGGGTAGAGACGATACGTGGCAAGAGTTCAGACAAGTACTGAACGGGCCGTCGACGATGGGCGAAAGCTGCACGTGCGTACTCTCCAGTAGGTTGCAGCCCATGCCCGTGCAAGGACGGCCCAGATTGAGGCCCGGGTTCATTCCAGATTACAGTCGGACCGAGGCATCAGATCGAGGTCGGTTCGGGGAGTGTGCCCACATTTTCTCGTGTTTGTCGGATGTTCTTGTGCATCCTGGGGGAGGGCACCCTCAAGTGATCTTCTGATTCGGGATGTGTTGGCCGTCGGAGGGTTTCATGTTCTTGAAGGATGTTTTTCTGTCTTAGGTCCGACCGTATTTTCCAGCCGGTAGCCACATGCACAGTGGTGTCCATACGGGTGTGTTTACGCAGCCGGGTACAATATTGTCATAGCGCGGATGTCCTCCACGAATTTTGTTGTTCTGTTTTCCTTTCAGTAGAAGCGCGCGATCGTTGACCTGACCCTTCACAAGTGGCTTCTCACAACAGCGGCGCGCATACACACAGGCACACGTGCTGTCGTGTCCAAAATATGGCTGAACAGAGAAGACAAAAATAGACACCGTGCGCAGCATTCTTCGTCGAGATAAGGAGAACATGCATGCACAAGCGAAGTAGCCCTCTATCACGCTCAGGCCTGCCAGAGATACCCACTCGCAGTGCGTGTGATTGTTGTGCCACCCACAGGGTATTGGGCGAGATCTACTGTAGAGCTCTTAAGGGGCGAAGAACGGTACAACATACACGTTTCCGCTGTCGGGGACGCTTGCCCGTGCGCGACTGCACAGTTTCTACCCTTACGGTGTCACCTAGGTGTATAAATTGTCCAGCCGCCTGGGGGGGCAGGCGTCCCTGGCGCCGAGAAAGTGTATCTCATACAGGTCTTCGCTCGCTGAAATTCATTTGCGAGCCGACAGGTCCGAGGAGGATGAAGGGGAGAGAGGATCGAGAGACGCAGGAGGGAAGGAAGGCCTCGCACGGCACACGCGGTACCCGCACAGTCGGGGGGGGCAGCGGCACAGATGGGCGCGGCCTTTGCGTCGCCTTCGCCCCTCGCTGGATCAACCGGGCCAGCAGGCCTGATCTCGGCCATTCGACGAGACGTAAGAGTGATCGTTCGCCGGAGTGACTTTCGGTGCGGGCCCAATGGGGCCCGCGATCGCCGAACGCGGTGCGATAGTAGCGTCTTGCGCGCTTGTGTGTTGGCTCCCTTGCGGCCCCCAAAAAGCCGCGCGTCAGCGGGCACTCTTACCCAGGGTCACTCTTGCGTGTAGGCGAGCCACTCGACCGCGAGCCTCGCGAAGCGCTGTAGCTCCATTCCTGGCAGAGCTGTTAGGGAGCAGGCAGCCCGAGTCTGACCAGAAAGGGAGCTCTGCAGGCTCAGTCAGGAGTTTCCTCATCGACGAGAGGCCCGAAGAGTCGCCCCCCTCATCGGTCTGGTCAGAGCTTCCCTCCTGAAGCCTGGGGGTCTGCACACAGCCAGCCTCAATGGCCTGTTGCCCAGACTCCAATGTGGTGCACGCTTCGCAGTGTGCTGCTAGCACGGCCTTCCGTGGGGCCTCTGAGGCAGATGGTTGCGGAGGTGGGGAAGCGGTGCTGCAATCCCGCATTCCCGCATCGGTCGCCGCGCCTTTTGTTCTCGACGCGCCCAAGTAGACGAAGCCGGCACCGCGGCAAACCCACCGCAAACCTTGCGTGCGAGGCGGACTTTGCCCTGGTGGCCGAGGCGCCCTCTCCAAGACGTACGGCCGCGCGTCGCAACAGATGGCGCGGCGGCATATGCAGCTGGTGCGAAACTCTTGGTGCAGCGATCCTGCCAGAAGCTAAATCCAAATCCTCCAGAACAATCTTCGCATGAAGCTCAAAGACTCAGCTGCTGCAGGCTGGCCCCAAAAAAGGCCCCGAGGGCCCCCCAGGACATTCTCAGCGCCCCCGCGCCGCCTCGAGGCGGCGCCCAGGGTGATGGGGCGCCCGGGGTGATGGTGTGCTGAAGCAGCCGGGGACGTTCACCCCTTCGCCCGCGCTCGTGGCTGTTCTCTGATGCATGGTTTCGCCGAGCGGCGCGGGCGAGGAGGAGGAGGAGGAGGAGGAGGAGGAGGAGGAGGAGGAGGAGGAGGAGGAGGATGGCCCCCCCCCTCCTCCCCCCCCCCCCAGACCAGCTCTTGGCTGCGTTGGGCGGCTGACCGTGGCGACCAGTCGGGGCCCCTCTCTCCCCCAGCCTGCCCGGCGCGACTGGTCAAGGCAGATCGACCGAGCACGGGTCCAGACCCAGACCCCCCCCCCCCGCCCTCCCTAAGGGCTCCCTCGAGGGCGCGAAGTTATTCGCGCTTCGCGCTTCGCGGTCCTCGTTTCTCCTCCCCCTCCTCCTCGTCCTCCTTTTCTCCCTTTGGGGGGGCGGCGCGAGAGCGCGAAGTTATTCGCGCTTCGCGCTTCGCGCAGCGCGAAGCGCGAAGTTGGGAGCCCTTACCTCCCCCACCCTTCGGCCAAATGTCGACAGTCAGAATACCCCCAACAACAAAAAAACAAAAAAAACGCCGACACTCCGGCTGCTTCCGCTCGCCGTCAGCGCGGGGCGCGGGCCCGAGCGCTCACCGATCCGGGAGGTGTTGAGACAGCCCGGGGCTGCGGGGCCAGCCTGGGCTGCCTCGCGGGGCCGTCCTCTGCGGAGCCCGCAGCCCTGCTGGTGCGCCTCGAGGCCCGCGCTCGCCTGCCCGCGGGTGCCCCACAGGCACGCCGAAGCTCGAGGATCAGGACGTGGACGCCTTCGACATTGTCTTCTTCAGCGGTGGGCATGGCACGTGCGTGGACTTCCCCACCTCCGAGGCGGACGGAGCTGCGGCTCCTGCGATCCGGCCCTAGATCGATTTCCAAACGTACATGTGTCCCTTCCTTTCTCGTTCTAGATCGGCCCTTCTCGTCCTGCAGAAGAAGATAGGAAATGCTACCACGTGCAATCGTATTTGGGTATTTGATTGCGCGCTTCGGATACCAGAAAAATACCGACCCTCGAAAACTTGAAAAAACGCGTCACACATTTGATGATAATGTTTGGATTTCTGGGTCGGGATGACAGTGCCTGCGAAGCACTTGCTGGCGCCCCCCTTTCCAATGTCAGTAGCCCTGGGACCTCGTCGCACTTGCCCAGAACGCGTTTCGGTTCTGCTTCGACATTGAGGGGTGGCGACCTTGAAGGAGAGAAACGGGGCGACATTGAAGGGGCGGTTCAACCACTCTTGAGACAAATGGTGTTGAGGATTCGCCGTGTGGAACGACTGTGAGGGCGAACTTATTGGCAACGATTGCTTAGCTGACTCGGCACGAGTGCATCTGGGTTGAAGACTTACACAAACTACGGCCCCGAGGAGCGGTCGAATTGATGTGTTATACTTCGGATTGACTTGTGGTTGTCAACTGACTGTTGGTTACTTAAGATCAATAGAGCTACGGTCCCATCCTGAGCACCAGAAACAAAGTCGGACGCTCTTCATGGTCGTAGTTGACACGAGGTTACAATTCCAATTGCAATTGTGGTAGTGCTGCGTGTCAAATTCGCTGCAAACGTGCCGCTTCCCTGAGCGAGTCTTGCAGGCGCGAGCGGCAGCCCGGGCCAATAGCCACTACCCCGCTTGAATCCAGGAGCTGAGAGAATTAGGCGATTCCGTTGGTAAAGTGAGACCGTGAAAAGTATTGAGGACAATCGGATCGAATTACCCCGGACAAAGTTAACCTCAAACATATGCCATTCATTTTACTCTAGTCTTTTGTGCTCTTGGTATTTGCGACAGCGCGTGCGAAGTATTTATTGGCGCATCCGCAAATGTCCGTCTTCCTGCGGCTCCAAGACGCACCGGCCCAGACCGCGTTCCGTTATGATTCGACATTGATGAGGGAGATTTTTAAAAAGCGGAAGGGGCGAAGGGGCCGACAGTGAAGGGGCGCATGCATTTTTTGTGAGGTCGATGTTGTCGAAGTCTGTATGTGGCACAAGCAGCGAACCCACGGTCCCAATGTTCTCGTTTCGAAACGCAGCAGCAGTTCGGGTTCGCAGTCCCACCAGCCTCCGAGCCGCAGCGGGCAATCATTCAATGCCGTTGCAAGATCAAAAACAATTGTGCTCTTCGAGGTGGCTGCTGTCGTTCAGACGGCGATGGAGAAGGGCAAGATTGTGGCGGCGGTATGTCATGGACCTATGGCTCTGGTCGAAGCAACAGTCCGTGGAGAGGGCGAAAGCGTGCCAGCGTTTTTTCTTGGTAAGGGCAGGATGTATTATGCATTATTGCTTTGAGGGCGCCATGATTGGGACCGTGTCAGGACACGCTGTGTGTTTGTAGTTGGTCTGCGTTGTTGGTGTTGTATATGCTATTCGCGCATGCAGTACACAAGGCGAGAAGGTGGAACATGATTTGTTGATTTCCATGACGTCGGCGCAGTACTTCCCTGTCTCGTGAGAGGCCTGGTTGATGGCTCTCACCAGTAGCTTCCGGCTGTGAGGGAGATGCGAAGGGCAAGTGGCAGGCGGTAGTTTGGCCCAGGCAGGATGGCAGGCTTACAGAAGAGCAAGTACGAGTAACAGCGGCTTGCTCTAGGTATTTGTGTTGAGTGTTTCAGGTTCCTCAGATAACCAGGACACGTTGTTCGAACATAGAGTATCGTGTCAAATCTACAGTCGGGATGTCGACATGAGGACCACGTTGAGCAGAGGTGTTTTGTTTCTCTGCATAGTATTTAGGTCTTGGTCGGGGAGCATCTTCGTGACCGAGGCTCGGCGTGGCCAGGAAGGCTATCTCGCTCCTGATGTAGCCTTCCGTGTAGTAGCACGATGACTGTACCGCTACCGTTGACACCGAGATGCGCCTTGCATGATGTGCTCCGAGTCCTGTTGGCCACGTCGGTAGAATGACGAGTCACATAAGTAGAGCGGTCCATGGTTTCAATGTATTGTGGTCCTTTTTGTGGCTTCATATTAGCAGGTACAGCCTCTAGTGCAAGGCAAGAAGGTCGCTTGCTTTACAGACAAGGAAGAAGAGATGGTGGGCCTGACAAGCCAGGTGCCCCCAATTCCTGCTTAACGTGGGAAATCCTCTCACTTCGCCATGTTGTGGCATGTTGTCCTGACAGGTCGATGATCTCTCGAATCTGCACGTGCGTCTTCACTTGCTTGGCGTTCCCTATGGCGAGAACCTCTGGCGGTTCATGTGCTCAATGTTTGTTCGCACTGCCAGCAGCGAGCACAACCATAGAGGTGAATCCAGAATCCCTTGACGCTCAAGGTTGATGTGACAATGTGGACGCCAGGATATGGCGACGCTCGCTGTAGATTTGAGCAGGTGCCTTTTCTGCTGGAGTCCAAGCTGAAGGACCTTGGGGCCACCGTCATGACTGGCGATCCCTGGACGGACCAGGCAATGCATTGAATATCTCCAAGTTTCTTTTCAGGGTAGTGCTGACACACAGTTCTTCTTGTGATGTCTGTTTCATGTTCGACCATATGCGCTGCAATCGCGCCTGCGGTCTAGGACTGGAGGGAAGCAGCATGATGACATCATGTTTGTTCGAGCAATTCCGACCTTGACTTGCCAAAAACACACGGCAGAATTCAGCACAGAAGTAGACAGGGGCGTACCGTGCAAAGTAGAGCAGGTGTAGTGCCAGAGTGGCACGAGGCGTGTTGTGCGTGACGACGTTCGCACGATTGGCCGCCCGCACCTGATCCTTTAGTCCTGCCACCCTTCGTCGAAGTTTCTCCCTGCTCCCCTCCCTCCCTCCCTCTCTCTCCTGGCAGCCTTCCTTGCCTGCCTCTCCCTCCCTCCCCTGCCTCCCTCCCTTATACCCTCCTGCTCTCTCCTGGCAGCTTGGCTGGTGGGCCCGTGCGGGGAGGGGGGGGGGGTCCACGGCCTGCATGCGCAGGCACGAGCCGTGCGGTGAGGGGCCTGCAGAGCGACCGGGGGCGTGCAGGGGCAGCAGAGTTCGGAGCCCGCCAGGAAAGGCTCCGGTGGACAAGGCTGCTTTCGCTGTGCTCGAGGTCCCTCCAGCCCGACCTTCTGGGCACTCCCCAGCACGCCCTGAGGCTGCCCCGGCAGCCGTCGAGACCCCCCGTCTCTTGGCATCGCTCGGGCGTGTGCATTCTTTCTCGGCGAGGATCAGTGAGGAGCATCCTGGACCATCGAACAAAAAAAAAAAAAAAAACGAAACCGAAAAATGCACGGGAAGTGGACGTCCGAGCGACGGCAAGGTCTTGGGCCAGACCTCCCCGCCGCCCTCGACAAAGCCAGGGCGTGCGGCAGGTCCGCGCCGCCTCGGCGCGGCGGCGGCGCTGGCGCGGGGCGTTCGAGGTCGGGCCGCCTCCGGGCCGGCTGCGGGCCCTCGGGGGGGCCCACGGAGAGCCATCCACGGCCCCGGAGTCCATACAGTCGGGGCGTGGATTTCAGGAACCCTAAATAAGGAACGAGGCCCTTTTTCTTCCACAAGTTCAACCTCGATTTCCCGTCGAAAGCCGAAGGACACCTGACGCAAACTGCAGAACGAGTAAGGAACACTGAGCCCTTCCCCAACGAAAAGGGTTCCTTCTTCAGCGCCCCGACTGTACGAAGGATGGGGCCGACGGTCGCCGGGGGCGACCCGCAGCGGAGGTTGCTCAGGTTGAGTGGCCCACGCGGGCGTCAAAAACGAGAGCCCACCTCGTCGTGGCAAGAAAGTGTTGCGTGGTCATGGTGTTGAGCACGTGTTGCGTTTGCCCGCGACTGCGTTGTTCTCTTGCTATTTCTCGTGGGCGAGGTCAAGGAAGCATGTCTGTTGTGTGATGTTGAACTCCTTGCGCGATATGGATTATGTTTTCGTTCCACCGCACAAATCGCTGAAACATCTAGCTTGAGATAGGGGTGGCACATGCAAGCGCCCCGCAGGCCGTCAGAGATGGCAACCTTGTGACGGGGCAGAATCCTCAGAGTTCGGTATCATGTGCAAAGCTCTGTTTGGCATAACGCCACATACTTCGTCCTCTGCGAACGTGGAGAAGACGCACGCGATTTGTTTATCCATCTTGAAGCCAGGACCGCGATGTTATTGCTTTGTTTGCGGAAGCGCGCAGGTCACACACGTGAGTGGGGAGGAGGGCGGCGGCGAACAAGGTAGAAGTTGTCACAGAATGCGGGGTCAGCACAGTTGCCAGATGCGCGTGCCACGCACGGGTGTGGGGGGGGGGAGGGGGGAGGGGCAAGCTAGGTGCGCTCGCGTCATATCGGACATCCTACCCCTCCCTCCCATCCCTTACCATGGCGTAGATCCCCTCTGTACTCGCACAGTCGGATGTCGAACAGGGCAATGATCCCGAAAGGGTACGCGATGCATTGTAGAGCACGGCATGGCATAGCGTAGAAGAGCACCGCAAACCGTAGCATCAACGTAGCATTGCATTGCATGCCGTGGCATGGCACGGGAAATGACGCCAGCGCTGCAGCGGGAGCACGAGCCGGAACGAGCGGAAGCGCGGAAATGAGGCCAGTGCTGCAGCGGGAGCACGATTCGGAACGAGCGGAAGCACGGAAATGAGGCCAGCGCTGCAGCGGGAGCACGATTCGGAACGAGCGGGGCCCGAAAATGAGGCCGGCGCCTCAGCGAGAGCAGCATTTTGGAAAAAAATGCAGGCGAAAACCCAACTCCGGGGAATCCTGTGTGTAAAAAAAACAGTACGCGGGGGGGGGGGGCTAATACTTTCAAACCGTCATCAGGGGAAGAGGGAGAGTAGTATTCATATTGAGTAATTGTGGAGGGGGAGGGGGGGGAGGGGAGGGGGGAGGGGGGAGGAGGGAGGAGGGAGGAGGGGAGGAGGGAGGAGGAGGGAGGAGGAGGAGGGAGGAGGGAGGAGGGAGGAGGGAGGAGGGAGGGGAGGAGGGAGGAGGGAGGAGGAGGAGAGGAGGGAGGAGGGAGGAGGGGGAGGAGGAGGGAGGAGGGGAGGAGGAGGAGGGAGGAGGGAGGAGGAGGGAGGAGGGAGGAGGAGGGAGGAGGGAGGAGGGAGAAGGGAGTACTTCTGTGTTGATGTGCGAAGACCGAAGGGCAAAGCCAGCACCCGAAGCGACACCCCATTCCACATGGTGCTTCGTCGATCACGGCACTGCGAGGTTGGCGGGGGGGGGAACGCGATCGAAGCGAATGTTGGCCCCGGCAATACTTCAGCATGTGATTCGCAAGTGCTCAGAGAGCATTGGAATGCCGAGGAGGTCATTGCGAGGTTGGCGGGTGGGTGAACGCGGTCGAAGCTAATGTTGGCCCAGGCGATCTTGCAACATGTGATTCGCAAGTGCTTGGCGAGCATTGGAATGTCGAGGAGGTGGTGCGGCGCAGTGCATGTATCATGCTTGTTCTCGCATCCGCACTGCACGTTCAGCTATTCGCTCAGGATCCCTCGCCGCCGTGCGACTGCGCAGCAGACGAGCGCCCTGGCATCCCCTGTGCATGTGCCATCGCTTGCCCAGCTGGCATCTGGCAGCAGCGCGCGTGGTTCGGAGGCCAGAGAGCACCTTGGCATCGCTCGGACGTGTGCATTCTTCCTTCGGCGAGGACCATCGAGGAGCGTCCTTGATCATTTGGCGAAGCAACCACGCACGAAACCTAAAAAAGCACAGGGAATGGACGACCGAGCGATGGCCAGGCGCGTCGACGTAAACTTCGGACGTCCGCGGACTGCAGCCGCTCGCCAGCCTCCGCCCGCCCCTGCACCCCTGGGCGGCGGCAGGGGTGCCTCGAGGGGGCTTGCCGCTGGCGGGGACCTGCCGCCCCCTCGCGTCCGAAAGTTACGTGCCGCGTGCTCGTCCAGTCTCCCAGGTGGCAGTGCGCTATAGCCCAGCAGCGCCTCTGCACGACCGAGCGGAGGGCCGCCAGACCCAGGCATCCCGACTGAGAGGATGTAGGCGAGGGCCAGTGCGGCCAGCTGTGCGTTTCGCTCATTCCCACTGCCTTCCTCGCTGGCCCTCGCGGAGGCCCCAGAAGCTCCCAGAGGTCCAAGAAGAGTTGAGGCCTGATCTTGTGAAGCTCCACGCTTCTGATCCTCCTCCCCCTCCTCACCCTCATCCCGCCCCTCCTCTCCGCCCCATCTTTACCCAGAGGATCACCTCTGTCAGAGCTGGCCAATGCACCTGCCCGTCGTCTCAGATCTTCCTGCTCACACTCCTCGACGTAGGCTACATTCATTACGCAGTTGGCCATGGTGTTTAGCACTCTGGCCTCCCCAGCGCCCGTCCTCGAGGGGTCCCTCTCCGGTGTGGATACGCACGGCTGTTTCCGACGGTGTTACCGGATGTGCACCTAGGCATCGTGCTTCCTCCCTCCTCCTACCTCCTCCCTCCTGCCGAACGATGCAAGGGTGGACAGTTGCGTGCGATCGAAATTGAATCCAGGGGCTTGGGCGCATCAAGTGAAGGAGGATTTCGCGCCAAGGCCGTGGCGCGGCCTGATGCCAGGAGTTCTGGGCGTGCGCGGCATGTTTTCAATGGTGCGTTGGGTCTTTCACGTTGGTGGCCTTCGAAATGGTTCCTGGAAGCTCAAGATATTCACACAAAATGATGTTTCACGGTGGCGACACCGTATCATACGTCGTCGGACGAGTGGAACTCCTCTATATGCGATCCCTCTTTCATCTGCAACGCTGTTCTTTCCTTGCGCTAGTGTCTGCAATTTTGCCTTGCAGAATGAATTGTGCGCTAGTTCTGCTTCCTTCGGCTGCCACCTATGTCAGGGGGCCCCAATGGCATGTGGTTCGTGGCGGAGCCTTGACATGTAACTCTAATGTGTTGAGGAATGCCTTGCAGCTAACCATGTTTTTTCAACTGGCAAATTCCTTTGCTGCGCCAATGAACGTGTCATTTGGAGCCCCCGACTGTGCTGCTAATGGTGGTTGTGGCCCTCGAACTGTAGGGCTCCTGAGCCGTATCTCACTCTCCCTTCGACGCTTGGTTCCTGAAGATGGACGCCAACCGTGAGAGCAAAAGGAGACGGTTGCCGACAAGGGTAGCACATGTTGGGTGAGGTAAGGTGATACACGAGAGAGCATTATGGGAGACGGGTAACATCATCATATTCGCCGTCATCGGACGAGGTTGCACCAAAACATATCCAGTGCGATGGTGCCAGAGTGAGCCAGGAAAGTGCAAGAAGCAACACGATTGCGCCACCGTTACCAGCAGCCTAGCATGCTATATATATTGCAACCGGTCGGAGCTATAGATCAGGCTGGTGTTTCTCATTGACGCTCGATTGTTTCATCGCTCAAGAGGTCTACGCCATGCCGCCAAGCCCTAGAAGCGGATATCTGCGGTTGTCGTTGGTTGTTTGCACATCCACGCGCTTAGTATGGATGCGCGTCTTCGACTAGGATACCCTTGTGTCCTTGCCTCAGCGGCCCGTCATTTGCCGTTTTCACTGGTCGCCCGCCGCCCAACAAAAAAAACAATTTCGGCCTCCAAGGGTCTTGCGTCCTTGCCACTCGTGTCGCTGACTTGTACTCCTCTTCTTGCGCGTCTGCTGCGGGGCGTCTTATGGGGATTTGTTGGAGGCCTCGGGGGCAGCCCCGTGGGAGCCTTTGCAGGGCTGGTGGGGGCCATCTCGGGGGCTTCTCGGGGGCCTCCTGGGGGCCTCTCCGGGGCTTCTTGGGAACCTTGACGTCGATCGGACATGTACATCTTTCACGGCCAGGACCATCGAGGAGCCTTTTGGTTCATCTTGCGAGAAAATGCACGGCCGCAGCGGGAAAAATGCACGGGGAATGGACGTCCGAGCGATGGCGAGGCACACGTTGGGGGTCTTGGGGGTCATCATGTGGGGGAGGGCTCTCGGGCCCCCTGCGCGTGACCCCCCTCTTGGGCCCCCCTTGGGGCCCTCTCAAGGGTTTTTGTTGGCCGCCTTGGGGGCCACACGGACTGTCTTGGGGGCCCCCTTGGACCGTCTCAGGGCCCTCTTGGGGGCTTCTTGGGCCGTCATGGGACGCTCTCGGGGGGCCGCGCGGGCCGCCTAGGGATTGCAGAAGGCTGGACAGGCGAGATCGCGACTGAGCTCAAGGATTCGTTGCACCTTGAGGCCCTCTCAGGGTGATCTCCTGGGGCCCTATGGAGGCATGCTGGGGGCGTCTCGAGCCCTCTGGAGGCCGTCTCCGGGTGTCTTTCTGAGGCCTCCCGGGCGCGGTGGAGCGCGCCTGGAGCAGGCAGGGCTTTTGGCTGCACCGCGGGCCTCTTGGAGGCCGTCTCGAGCCCTCTGGAGGCCGTCTCCGGGTGTCCTTTCTGAGGCCTCCCGGGGCAAGTACGAAGACAAGCACGAGGACGAGGAAAAAGAAATAAAGGAGGAGGACGAGTCCGAGGAGGAAAGAAACGGCAGACGGAGGAGGAGGAGGAGGAGGAGGAGGAGGAGGAGGAGGAGGGAAGGAGGAGGAGGAGGAGGAGGAGGAGGAGGAGGAGGAGGAGGAGGAGGAGGAGGAGGAGGAGGAGGAGAGGAGGAGGAGGAGGAGGAGGAGGAGGAGGAGAGGAGGAGGAGGAGGAGGAGGAGGAGGAGGAGGAGGAGGGAGGAGGAGGAGGAGGAGGAGGAGGAGGAGGAGGAGGAGGAGGAGGAGGAGGAGGAGGAGGGGGAGAGAGGAGGAGGGGGGAGGAGGAGGAGGGAGGAGGAGGGGGAGGGGGAGGAGGAGGAGGACGACGACGGAGGACGGTGGAGCCCGCCTGGAGCAGGCAGGGCTTTGCGCTGCACGCGGGCCTCTCGGAGAGGCGCGGGCGGCGGACGTGCGGGCTCCGGGGGCCCCGGGGGGGGCGCCCGCGAGCTCTCTATCGGGGGCACCCGCCCCCCTCGGATGACGTTTTGAGCCCGGGGGGGGGAAGGAGGGAAGGGGGGAGGGGGGGGAGGGGGGAGGGGGAGGGGGGGGAGGAGGGGGGGGAGGAGGAGGAGGAGGAGGAGGAGGAGGAGGAGGAGGAGGAGGAGGAGGAGGAGGTGCCAGGCCCATGGTCCAGTCGCTGCCGTCGGCGGCGCCGCCGCCCCCAGGCCTCAGGGGCGTCGCGTAAGGGGGGGGGGGTCATGAACGGAGGAGTGGCGAGGGTGGTCCGACAAGGTGCCCCAACGGTACCCAAACGAGCCCCCTGGGGCTCCAGAGGGGCACGAGAGGGGACCGCTTCTGGCCCCCCCCCATGATGCCCGCCCCATGAAGCCACGCCCAAGGAGGGGGATAGCCAAATAGCTCACACTTCTGCACCCCGGGCAGGCGGGCATCGGCGGATCTCTCCTCCGCTTCCCTGCCGAGTATCAGCGCACAGCCATGAGCGAGCACGAGCACGTATGCCCCGAGCAGAAGAGGAGAAGGAGGAGGAGCAGGAGAACAGCAGAGGTGTTTTGAGCTTCGCGGGGTGCACCTCCGGAAGTTCCGCGGAGCCTCGGCGTGCGCTGCGGGGCCCCGCGGTGGCCTCTTGGAGGCCTCGGGAGGTCGTGCTTTATACAGGGTGTGCAATGCTGGCCTGCGGTGGTGATAAGCTGGAGGCCCCCTTGGGGGCTCCTATTGCGGCCATCTTGGCCCGACTTGGGGGTCTCTTTGGCCGACGTGGGTCCCCCTTTGGCCGACTTGGGTCCCTGTTGGAGGTCTCGGGGGTGTTCGGGAACCACGTGGGGGCCCTCTCGGCCCGTGTTGGAACCCTCTTGGGCCGTCTTGGGGCTGTCTTGGGTGTCTGGCGCAACGTGTGGTGCAACATATGGCCAGCCCGCTTGGCCAACGCACGATTTAGTTGCCCGGCGGGGTGTCCGGCGCAACCTGTGGCGCAACCCATCGGAAAATTTGTGTTCAGGGCCTCTTTAGCGGGATGAAGAGAGGAACGAGTTCCCGACGCGCCCGCCCCACGTGCCATGGCCGCCAAAGCAAATGGATCCCCAAGCTGCCCCTAGCGACCCGCCTCTAGCCCTCGACGAATGTCGGCGGCGCGCCCAGGGGGGAAGGCAGAGGGGGCTGGCCTTCTCAGAAGGCTCGGAAGGCCTCCGGCCTTCTGGGAAGACGTCTCTGCCCCCCCGTTTCGGCGAAGCCCCGCGCCTTCCCGGAAGGCCTGCCCCTTCTCATGCGCGAGGCCGCGTACTGGGAGGGCGATAAATGGGGGGGGGGCAGCGAGGGCTGCCGAAAAAAGACCCCGAAAGGGCCCCAGTCGGGCCCCAAAGGAGGCCTCTGGGGCCCGAAAAGGGCACCGCCCTCCATTGATCTGTGCCCAATCATTTCCCCCCTCGGGTCGCCGCCGAGAAGGACGTCAGAGCCGCAACCCCGCACAGTGCGACCGCCTGGCCCCGATGATCCTCGAGAGATATGCAGAGTGCCCCGCTTCGCGTCCTCGACGGATGGCGACAGAACCGTGGAAGGTACACAGACGAAAAGACAATGGTCACGTACAGAATGCAGACGCAAAAGGACAGACATAGTTATAGTGTACGAGGACCGTGCTCACTGGATGTACGCGAAGAACGCACTCAGAGGATGCGTAAACGCATGCACCAAACGAACATACAGCACTTCCATACAGAAAGACACTGTGCGACCCATAATCTTGCACTCAGACACGTTACCCTTGCGAAGGATCCAACCATATGCATTTGTGAGTAACGCAATTGTCAATGTCGTCCTCGGTGGAGCTCCCTACGGGGCCACGAAGCGTGTGAGGGGTGAGCCGAAATGGACATGCGGTGGGCCAGGAGGCGCATGCGAACCCTGCCCGTGAGGCCTTCGGTGGAGTTTTCGATGGGGTCACGAGACGTGTGAACGGTTTGCCGAAATGGACATGCGGTAGGGGGGGGAGCCGCATGTAAAGGCTGCCACTGGGGCCTTCTCTGGAACATTTTTAGCACATGTGGCATGTGCCAGATCGTCAGGGGGGGAGAAGGGAAAGGAGGAGGGGAGGAAGAATAAGAAGAAGAAGAAGAAGAAGAAGAAAAAGAAGAAGGACAAGGAAGAGCAAGAAGTCTCTTGGTGACGTCCTGGGGACTTCCCGGGGGCCTCTTGAAAATTCCTGACCCCCACCAGGGTTGTCAAAGGAAATGTGATGTTGCAGAGAGTTG